ACCGTGGGTCCCAAACTAGCTCTCCAAGAACATCCCATGCCGAGAGTCCCCCGCCCCCATCATCCCTTGCAGGTCAGGCTGACAACCTGAGTCCACTCCTCGGGACCCACATGGTAGGAGAAAAGAGCAGATTCCTCTGGGCTTCATCCACACCCCGTGTTTCACGCGCTTGTGCGCATACAAAGTAAATAAACAAAGCCCAGGCTCCGCCATGAAGAGCACTTGCTGCCTCTGCAGAGGACCCGAATTAGGATCCAAGCGCTCTTGCCAGGTGACTCACAACCACCTGCAACTCCGAAAGGGATCTCATGCCTCTGGCATCCGAGGGTGCCGGCGCCCGCATGCCTAAACCTCCACACAGACACACATGCGTTAACATAATTTAAAATATTTAAAAAAAAAACAATAACCAACAAAAACCTTACCACAAAAAGAACAAGAGCTCTACAGACCACGTATATGAAACACCAGTGCTCCTGTCTTGGCATGGGTCTCTCCCACAGTCCCTCTGGTGTTCCCCCTTCAGTATCTCTCAGTATCATTCAAGATCTAATGGAGAACTGATTCCTACACAAAGACTCCTGCCCATCTCCCAACCTCTTCTCTCCTTTCTCCCTTGTCTCAATATTTAAGTTCAAGAACTCCAAACCCTCCCTCGCTCTCTAATGGTGTATTCTGGCTTTAGAGGTTCGAGACAGGATCTCACGTATTCCAGGCTGGTCTCAAACTCACTACACAGGTTAGGGTGACCTTGAACTCCTCATCTCCCTGCCCCCACCGCCACCTCCCAGAGTGCTGGGACTCTAAGTGTGCACCACCACGTGCCATCTGTGACGTGCCGGAGACCTAAAGAGGCTCTGTGTATGCTAGGCTAGCGACCTACCAACTGAGCCGTATCCCCAGCCAATGTGGGATGTGTAACAATTAAAAAGATAAATCACTTTGAAACTGCCAGGTCAGAGGCAGCCATCGCATTTGGAGTCTCCTCCTTTCCGGCTGCGCTGAGAACCAGCCTCTACTGGAGCCTTTAACCCAGGAGGACGGCTTCATGGCTTGAGAGTCAGGGAGCATGCTGTCTTAAAGCACAAGCAGGGATTGCAGATTCTAACTACAGGCATCTAAGCCCCAAGTGAAGGGCAAAGAGAGGCCACCCATCCTGTACCCGTGTGGAGTCATCTACAGTAATAACGATGACAGGGGTGGGGGAGGAACCAGAGAGGAAGGAGAGGGAAGGAGAGACAAAAAGAAGAGGAGGGGGAAGAAGAGGGGAAATGAAGAGGTGGAGGGAGAGGGAAACAAAAAGAAGGAAGGGGTCTAACTGGCTGAGGACGTGGCTCAGGTGGTACAGGGTCTGCCAAGCACTCACAGAGCTCCGGGTTCCATCCTCAGTCCTGCATCCACGGGACATGGTAGCTCATGCCAAACATCCCAGCACTCAGGAGGTCGGGGCAGGAGGATACCAGTTCGAGGCTATCCTGAGCTACACGCCAGATCTTGTGTTAAGGGGAAAAAAATCTGTGGGGTGGGAGTTAAATATCGGAAGGTCATCATCGGAGCCAGAAGTATCTAATGAGAGTCAGTTCCCAGCTTGGTCCCCCTCCCACAAACATGTGTCGGTGCAGTCATGGGTTCGCCAGCTTCCCACTGTGCACATCACCCCAAGGACCAGCTCACAGACCCACTCCCATGCTAGTGACTCCCTGGCTCCTCCACGAGCACATGTTATGTTAAAGCAATTTTTAAGCTGGGTCTGGTAGCATGGACCTATAATTCCAGCACTAAGACGGGAGAGGCAGAAGGGGCAGGAGTTCAAGGTCCTCCTCCGCTCCACAGAAAAGCAGAGATCAGCCTGAGTCGCTGAGATCCTGTCTCAAAGAAAAGGAAGGGAGGGAGAGAAAGAAGGAATTCTAAATGGGAGCCCTTCCCTGCACTGTATGTAAGTCCTAATCACGCTTTGTAATGAGAAGGTAAATGCTTAATCCAAAAGAGTAGACACTGGGCTGGGGAGACAGCTTGGTCGGTGAAGGGCTTGCTGTGTACACATGCATGGGGACCTGAGCTTGCTTGATCCAGACGTGGTGGCACACACTTCGAATCCCAGATCTTGGAGGATCCCTGGGACTTCATAGTCAGCCTCACATATGCAACAAGCACTCTAGTGTACACATACACACACACACACACACACACACACACATACACACCACACACACACACCACACACACACACACACACTATAATACTATTCAATATAATAAATTTCAGTATTTTTTTAAAAACCAAGAGGGACAGCACCTCATGAATGACAGACAAGGTTGACCTCTGACCTCCACACTTGCACACCCACGTACACTGGCACACGCACACACAAACATGAATACAAAAAAGGAAAAAAGGAGCAGCTATCAGACACCTCTACCCTGTCCCACTGCCTACCTCTGTCATCCACAGAGAAAGGGAGTCCATTAAGACTGAACTGTGATTTTTCTCAATGGTACTAGCTGAGTTAAACTATTTTTTTCTTTGTTCATTTGTTTTCAGGCAGGGTAAAAATAATGTGGATGGTCAATTCGTTGTTTTAGACACAGTCTCATAATACAGTCCAATCTGACCTCAATCCTCCTGCCTCAGCACCCCAAGTGCTGGGGATTACAAGCCTTGGCCACCATTCCTGGCTACCTTCTTTCTACAAAGCCTCTATCCCACACTCTCAGTGAAGGCTGGGTTGGTGGTAATAGTCACTTTCAGGGTCTGAGGAGAGGTGATGTTTTAGTGAACAATCCTAAAACGATTTTTAAAGGTGCCCCAGCTGTTTCGATTAAACCCCCAGCAAGCTTCCACAGACTCCGAAAATGCCACCTTTCCGAAGCCACTCGCTCAGAGGCAGCCTTGGCGTCTGCCAGGACCCCTTGTATAGTTTAGAGAAGAAGCAAACAAATTCCATGACCTGGGCCCCATGGGTGAATGCTGAACTAGGTTAGGTACAAGGGAGCTGCCTGCCTAGCTGGAGGCCTGGAGGGTAGAGTCAGACTTCAGCCAACACCTCACAGTGCAGAATTAGCAAATCAAAACCAGCTCTAGAAGGTGGGGACTTCACTCAGTGACAGAGTACTCCCTGTATATGCATGCATGGCCTTGGTTTCATCCCTAGTGAGGCAAACTTAAAAATAAGGAAAATCAGGGCTAAAGAGATGACTCCAGAGAACCTGAGTCTACTTCCCAGCGCCCATGTCAGCTAGCTCACAAGTGCATGTTAACTCCAGCTCCAGGGAGATCCCATGCCTCTGGCCTCCAACACACCACATCACATACACAGGCACGCGCGCGCGCACACACACACACACACACACACACACACCAATATATACATAAAAATAAGAAATTCATAAATAATAAAAAAACAATTCACATTCTGCTTACCACCTTACATAAATGAATAAATAAATAAAATAAGTAAATAGCTAAATAAATAAATGGTAAATCGCCCCCTCCAACACTCCAGCAACCCCGACGGCAGCTGGAGCCTTGCTGTCCTGTTGGAGGGGACAACGTGTCTTGCACCCCCCTTTAAGACAATTCCACACCAGATGGCTTTACAACCGCTGCTAAACTCCGATTCTGGTGGTTTTGTGTGTGCGGTTTGTTTGGTTTTTTTTATTTTATTTTTAAGTTGATCTTTGCAACTGGGAGACAGCAGTAAGATGCAGAACACGAGTCTCCCCACGTGCAGAAATACTGTGGTATGGAGCACACGCACGGGGGTTAACACAGCCCCCGGTTCTCTCTACAGGTCTCAGGAACTCTGCAGCCCAGGCAGCACCTGGCCACTGCAGATGTAGTTAATACCCCAGTTTACCAGACTTCACAGCCACAGACCACAGGGTCTCTCGGGTGCTATGTTTTGAACCCAGGAATGTCTCCTTTTTATGCTTTAAAAAAAAAAAAGACAATTAAAAGAAAAAAAAAGAATAGGCTGGGGCCTTGGGATGGCGCCCCAGTCTTGGCACCTAAGGAACTGCATGCAGACACCGCTTTCCCTAGAGCTAAGGAATGAGGCGCAAATGGGATCTCACAGGCTCCTGGTGCAAAGGAACAGCTTTGAGAAGAAACGCCCCGGATGGGGGCCGAAGGTGCACGTGGCCCGCACTGTGGAATCAAGCCGCAGTGCTGGGTCCCGACTTAGCACCACCTGCCAGTGGGTCGAAGCATCCTGGGGACCTCCGGAGCCCTGAGACAGGACTAGAACTACCTGCTGCTGCCCAGGCGCCCTCAGACCAAGTCTGAGGAAGTTCACTCCCCAGAGCGCTGGTCTGGAGAAGCTGGGCAACCCAGCAAACCTGTCTTGCACTAGAGAGGCAGTCTACCTCTGCATTGAATCTGGATTAGTTCCAAAGCTTGCCACTCGGGGTCCCGGTGGGACTGCCTGAAGCCTCTAGGGTCACCCCCATGCGTTCCAAAACCACCGATCCTGCCCAAGGGGGCGAGCATCAGGGATAGGGGACAGGAGGTGGCGTGAACCATACCTCCCACCTCCCCCTATAGATCGCCATGACTCCTGCTTCCCGGAGACCAGGAAGACACTAAGGACTCCCACTTAGACTGCTATGCAGATCGGATCCCTGACACCCAGAGCTACCTTTCCCACAACCTGGGCGTCCCCGGGGGACGCGCAGTCCGGTAGCCACTGGCACCCAAGACTCCACGAGCTGGCACAGTCCTGGGATCCCCAAGAGTAAATCCAGGCCCTTCTGCAATTCCAGCATCCCTCACCTACCCTAAGCATCAAGAGAAATGGAGGTGGCACGGGTGATACCCCGGCCCTGAGAGGTGGGGTGCTTAGAGCGGGGCCAACAGGTCCGGGAGGCGCTTGTGGGCAGCACACCCGCCCACTCCGAGGCGCGCTAGGGTAGGGGCATCCGGGAAGGGACCATGGAAGCAGCGAGGGAGGCAAGGATGCAGGTAGGATGCGGGATGAGGACCGGGAGAGCGCAGCACTCACCTCTCTTGGAGCCCGGGCTCCGCTGCCCGGCTGCCCAGGCACCTCCTCCGAGGCCCGCAGGGAGGGGGCGACGCGAAACCGAGCGCTCAGCCTGGCGCTCACACGCGTCCCCGCGCGGGCATCCTTCCTCTCTGCCGCCGGCTCCCACGGCGTCCCCCACTCCGGTTGGGAGGCAGCTTTGCCCAACCCAGTGGCGCCCGGGAACCCTGTGCAAGTCTTTCCCTTGAGTCTCTCTGCTGATCTTTGCAGAGCCCGCGGTGATCCAGGCTGCTCCTTCCGACCCTGTCCTTGTCCTCGCCTCCCGTCTAGGGAAACGTGCGCCCCGCACCCCCTGCACCGAGCTCGCCTCTACCCCTCCCGCGCCCGCTGGCCGCGCGGGCTCAGCCCATGTGCGCGGCTGCCTCCTCGCTGCGCCCCGGAGCCCAGTGGCCGAGGCCCCGCC